AGGGCCAGTTATTGTTGGTGTTAGGCCACAACTTCCTGTTGAAGGAGTCGCATTGCTTTTAGGCAATGATTTAGCTGGGGGTAAGGTATCATTAGACCCCATTGTTTCTGATCAGCCTTGTTCTATTGAGGATTCTGTCCAAGAGGACTCTGATATATATCCTGCTTGTGCTGTTACTAGGGCTATGGCTAAAAAGTTAGCTAATAGCGGGGATTCGTCTGTGGGAGATGACTTTGATAGTGGGTTTTTAAGCTCCTTGTTTGATGATGAATGTCACTCACCACTTGTTAAAGATGATCCTTATCCTATTTTAAAGGCACATTCTTCATTGAAACAGCCTTCTGTTCAAGCCAAGCAGTCATCTATTGAGGCAAATTCTTCATTGAAAAAGCCTATTGCCAGAGGTGATTCACCTTCTGAGCAGGATCACTATTTTAATGCGGTTTCGCCCGCTCTTGCTAGTCCTGATGAAGTTTCATCTTCTTCTGCTAGTGTTCATGAGGTTTCATCCCCTCCTTGTTCTGAGGTTTCATCCTCTTCGAGTTCTGAGGTTTCATCCTCTATTTCTGATAGTGATTCTTTGAAAAATGATCCTCATTCTAAACACATGTTAATTTATGAACAAGAGCATGATCCATCACTCATTGATCTTCATAAAAGATGTCTTACTATTGATGAAGCTGACAAGGTCCCTGTTTGTATCTACAAAAAGGATGGCATATTAATGCGAAAGTGGAGACCTCCTGAAGCTTCCCCAGAAGACGATTGGGCAATTGTACATCAAATTGTTGTCCCAAAATCATATCATAAGGAAATCTTGAGTCTAGCTCATGATTCTCCCATGGCAGGTCATTTAGGAGTAACTAAAACATACCATAAAATACTCAATCATTTCTATTGGCCCAAATTAAAACAAGATGTCCAAGAGTATTGTAGGTCTTGTCATACATGTCAAATGGTAGGGAAACCTAACCAGAAAATTCCAATTGCTCCTTTACACCCTATACCTGCATTTGATGAGCCATTTAGTAAGGTTCTTATTGATTGTGTTGGTCCATTACCAAAAACAAAATCTAATAATCAATATCTGCTCACTATTCTGTCTATGGCCACACAGTTTCTAGAAATAAAATCACTCCTTATGCTTAGAAATAGCAAAACCAAGTATATTGTGAAATCACAAATCAACAATTTCACATTAGTTGGGCTACCAAAGGAGCTCATATCTGACTTACAATCTAACTCAGTGCTGAATGATTTCATTTGCATTGATAAAACTACCCCTGTGAGGTGTAGAGAGCTACACATGATGAAAAAGTATGTTGAGCGTGATAAATTTCTTTACTCAACATGAGCTTGTGCTCTTAGCTCATAGGCCAAACTTGTATGTCAATGACAACTATACATGTATGTTATTCAAGAGTCAGATATTGTAAATTATAATGATTAACTCATGAAGATTATATTATATGGTAGGCAAATTAGAGATTTGTGATAACTGTCACTTTATTTTAACAATGTATAAAAACATTTGCCTAAATAGTGAAATTGATATTATATGAACTACAAGAATGTTTCTAGATTATGTGAGCATTATAGGTAATCTTTAAATAGTGTCACAAGATTACTTGATAACATCAGAGTGTACTATTAGAAATACTTACATAAGATCATGTGATAATTTAAAACATTGTACTAGTTTAGTGTTTGTCAGACTCAAAAATGTATGCTATTGTACATGTTATATGATCTATTGCGTGTATTGTATTTATGACTTAATGGATAACTTATGTAGATACTATTGTAGTATATGATTACAAGAACATTATATGTTATTAGATTGTACTCACACTGTAACGATAGAAAGTATAAAATACTTGTAAACATACTGCACATAAAAAGACTATTGTAAACAAATATTATGTAAGTCTCAACCTCACTTTTAGAAATTGTAACGCTCGCTACTCAAGATATTATTGTAAAAGTTTTTCATTGCATTCAAAACTTTTCTTTTAAGGAGGGAGGTGTTACAGTAGTGAGCTACATGCATATTATATTCTACTATATTCACCTATAGTTTAATTTGTAATGTATGTTTGCTGTATATGTTGAGCTATTCTTTATTGGAGATCTTGGGTCAAGGTCACAATGACATTATACACTGTATCTTGTAAACAAAACTGAACTGAATGACTCATTAACCCTTGACCATCCAGATAGTTCTAGAAATTATAACCATTCATTAAAATTTAATCATGTCACTAAAGATGTCCAATCAAAACTCAACAAGTAGTCTTAGTTCTAGAAGATTCTTTCTAGATGATTCTTTCACACTATAAATAAAACTGCAAAGTGGACTCAGTAGCAGATAATTAAGTAATCATAACTGGACATCTCAAAGGAACTAAATAAAGCAGAATTTCAAAGTTGATCAAAAGACATCTTCTTAGCAGAAAATAACAGACACATACTGTGGGAACATTTATAACACTACAAACATACAACCTGAGGACTTTATATGGACATATATTATAACACACTCTATATACGGATTATCATCAAACATTTGTGGATTATCATCAAACATTATTGGATACGAACATTATAGGATTACAACAAACATTATTGGATTATTACAAACATTGGAGAGCTATTAACGATTATTGAATCATTTCGTGATCTGGAACATTCTCAAGGATCATCAACGACATTTATCGACATCAAGAATAAGCCGTATCATTGATTGGACATCACTTAAGTATTAAACCTCCTTTATATTATTGTTATATTATTTAGTTTTCAAAATATAAATATATTGTTATCATATTTTAATTGCTGTTTTTACTTTCTGTTATTTTCGAACGTAACAATAGGTAGTACAGTGTCAAAGGCATCCACAGCATCCCCTATTAAGCTGACAATATGATCCTGATTCAAAGTATTTATGTCCTTGGATGGATCAACAGGTGGCTTCTTGAAATGTAAGACATTAAATGTTTTGTTCATATTATTTGTCTCACCTAATTTAAACAAAGCATCATGTTCAATCTGATCAGAGAGCAAGAGGCTTACTTCATGTCCAGCATTCATCATAATTCGTCCAATATTTATTGTATTCCTCATTCTGCTATTATAGCCGAAATCCACTGGTACAACGAGAATATTTCCACATTCACAAAGAGATGAACACAAAATGACTGATAACAAAAGTCCTGTGAAATCCATCTTTTAATACTGTATATCACTGTAATTCTTAACATATAACTCACTAGTTCAACACATTATTTTTGATTCACTTGTGCTTGACATTGGTATATGAACAAATAACACATATACCCTCTGGTCAAAAAATTATGTGCATCATCATCTACTATTTACAACTTTTAAAAAATGATTTTTATATTAATTTTAATAGACTAAGCAGCAAGGATTTACAACTGTCTCTTCAATTCATAATAAAATCTTCAATTGCAATTGCAAAAATAATACCATTTATAATATACATGTATATGATATTTACTTTAGAAATTCCTGCTGATGCACAATTCTTTGGACCAGAGGGTATGCTGATCTTTGCTACCAATAGAGTATATAGCAGTTGTAACAACTAGAGAGCAATGACTTGTTTATCACACTTGAAGAATAAAGCCCCAAAATACATTATTTATGAGGTGTTAGGTCACATTGACATAACATATGTATCTCATACAGAACTCACAAATAAAGTGTATACTAAAGACTAAATACAGGGTATCCAAGTCAGGGCATCTGTTATTTGCCAAGACCTGTTTTATTCATATCATTACCAGCTTGCCTAATATTGCATATTATCCCATGGTTAGAAGGATATAGATCGAATATCACGTGAAGATAAATTTGATATATGGATCAGGATATCATTTTTCAGCAAAAAATCCCCAAACCATTGAATATCACTTTTGAAACCATCAAATATCACTTTGAAACCATTCAAACCTTTTAAAAGGTGATATAAGGGTGTCAAAAGTGATATCCGATGGTTACGATTTTTTTTAAATTAATTTTTGATTTCTATAAAAAACAAAAAACCTTTAAAAACTTACCTTTTTTAGATACGATGAATGGCAAACGCTAATTGTAAACCATATATGTTGTATGTCATAAGAAAAACAAACACTATATGTTCCAAACCCACGATCTCACGTGAAAAGAAACAATGTCCAAATACCCTTTCCTCCATCATTCAAGAACCAATATCACAATCCAAGACCAGAACACCAACGTATAGGTATAAAAAAGGGACATTTCAATCATACTGAAGTCATTACAATACATGTTGAAGAAAAATTAGAAATTGATAGCCAATACTCATGTATGTATGTATATATTTATTGTCCTTTACAAAAAAGGTGATTTATTCATGCAATTATAAAAAGATTAATATGTACAAACAATCTAACAAACAAGCACCAAACAAATTCTAATCCATATAAATTGCCGACTTCAAGCCACTGCGTTGCCGTTTGGACAAAATATATCAGATTAAACAGTTGTGTATGAATATGAAGAATACACCTTCCCCAAGGTTGGTATATTCAGAATAAATACTTAAAAAGTCCAGTGAGTTTCAAATGTTATAGAGGGTACCTTCCCCAAGGCTGGTACATCCATTTGTGATCATTTACGTATAACATACACATATAAAGTATGAGCATAAGTCAATAAAAAGTACCATCAAATGACAATAATATATCATAATGTCATTGATTTAGGGTGTAGGGTTGGGGTATTTCTATATCCTGCATTTCTGAATCTGTAGTTGAACCACCATCAGGGTTTCATATTTCTACAATATTATACAACTACATCAAATTTGAGTATCCTTAAAGTCCGCATTAAAAAACGTTGTACCTAAGAAATAATATACAGGTACAACGTTTTTAATGCCGCTTTAAGGATACTCAAATTTGATGTAGTTGTATAATATCGTAGAAATATGAAACCCCTGAGCTTGGTATATGCAGAGAAATACTTTAGAAACCAGAGAATTAAATCAGCTTTATAAAGGGTACCTTCCCCAAGGTTGGTTCGGTTAGAAGTGGAAAAAATGGTTACACATTACACATTAAACTCTGAACCTTCCCCAAAGTTGGTACTGTACATCCAGAATAGAAAGATATTAATCATAATTTCAGTAATATAGGATAGTCCCCTGGGGGCCCATGTACCTCCCTGAGGGCCACCCTCCACCACTGAATGAAGTTACATTTAAGTGTGTAACATCAAAAATAGAACTGTAGATACAAGTATTCATACAAACAGAGCATAATCACTCTCAAATGACGTGGTAAAGACAAAATCCAGCCACGGAGTTCATGGGAATTTCAAAGGGCCAACAACCATTCCCCAAGCCGTGGCCATAATCCATAAAACACAATAATTCACAATGGTCATCAAGAAACTATGGGTGGTTTCAATATATATTTCTCAACAATCAATACTGTAGCTGGAACCTCAAAAGGTGTGTAGTGAAAAAATATGAGTTAAGTGCCAATTTCTTAAACAATTCCAACATCATTCAACATCTCAAGTGATAAAACCTGAAACTTCAAAAGCTAATTGGCATATAAAAGTCATTACTCATGGTTCAGTCTATCCTGCAAAAGGAGATTTGTGCCTCAAAACCATCAATTTTAATGTCTAGTAAATATTACTTTATTAATCATATTTGTCCTTCTGGTAAGAGACTATGAAAAGAATGACTTTCTTGGTTATAATTACCAGAACTGTTCCAATGATAATGCAAACACAACACACCAGTGCTATGATGTCGAGCAAATAGTGTTGGAAGAAATTCAGTTCATTAGCAGCTTGGGATCGTAAATGGGGTGCACCCTTGTGGTGTATTACATATTCAGCCCAGTAGACAAGTTTGTCCTTTGGTGGTATGGGTTGATCATGGTATATAGCAGCAGCTCTGTCAGCATTCGCCTTGTATGTTTTATTCTCTATAACCTCCTTCATGGCTCGTTGAAGTTTCTTGCTGGTGATTCCTTCCAAAGAAACAGTTTGACCAGATTTTACTCTATGGGAGAGTTTGTGGCAATAGAAAGGCTGATCCCAAAAGAATGGTACTCCAATCACAGGGAGGGCGTAATGCAAAGCTTGAAAGCTGGATGAAGCTCCACACTGTGTCACAAATAGTTTAGTAGCAGGGTGATTCAATAGGCTTTCTTGAGGTATCCAATTACTCACAATCGTATTATTTCCAAGACCTTCAGGTGTGGGGCCTTCATAACTCCAGATCACAGTTTGTGGCAAAGCAGCAAATGCTTTGGCAAATATAGTACGAAGTTCTGGCCAGAGTCTACGGAACAATGACCCAAAGCTCGCAACAATTATCCCATGTTTTCCAGCTTTCTCAATAATGTTGGCATAGTGTTGATCTAAAGGCTTTGGGTTTTCTAGGAAAAATCCTTCTACAGATATAACATGTGGCATTAAGGGAAGTGGGTAATGAAGTGCATCATTTCTGTTCATAAAGACCAGAGAGGCAGTTTTGTCAGCATTCTCTATGTAATCACAGGCATCTCCATAATCCAGTTCTTTACATATCTCAACAGATTTACTGAACAATTTCCTGTTCACATTTTGAAGTTTAAAATAGTCCCAAACATTGTAGACTCTTTCTGAAAAAGACATTATGTCGGAGTATTGTTCAACGTAAGCAGGAACATATGCAAGATTGAATCTTTGTACAAGATTTGCATACCTCAAAACTCATTGGTCCCCAGTTTTCATAAAGAATCAAAGGAATATTGAAAGTTGCGGCTATAATCCTTGACACAATCATCAGCTCATCGCTTATTATCAAGTCAAACTTTGCACTCGCAATCTTTTTCCAAACAGTTTTGTCTTTCAGAGGATGGGAAATTAAATCAAAATGTGCAGGTAGTACAGTGTCAAAGGCATCCAAAGCATCCCCTATTAAGCTGACAACATAATCCTGATTCGAAGTATTAATGTCATTGGATTGATCAACAGGTGGCTTCTTGAAATGTATGACATTAAATTATAGAGCAAATAGTATTGGAAGAAATTCAGTTCAGATTTTTACAAAACTAAGTTTATAAGCTTATCAGTTTCATTAGTTTCACTTGGATCTAAAATGACCCGTTGTGTGAGTTGTTGGTTATATAATGCAATGCAGTTATATGAAATATTGTCCTCTAATTGTCTAGAATCGGACACACCTTGCCTAGCTATGTGCAAATACTTTATTAATCATATTTGTCCTTCTGATAAGAGAATATAAAGCAAATGACTTTCTTGGCTATAATTACCAGAACTGTTCCAATGATAATGCAAACACAACACACTAGTGCTATAATGTCGAGCAAATAATATTGGAAGAAATTCAGTTCATTAGCAGCTTGGGATCGTAAATGGGGTGCACCCTTGTGGCGTATTACATATTCAGCCCAGTAGACAAGTTTGTCCTTTGGTGGTATGGGTTGATCATGGTATATAGCAGCAGCTCTTTCAGCATTCGCCTTGTATGTTTTATTCTCTATAACCTCCTTCATGGCTCGTTGAAGTTTCTCGCTGGTGATTCCTTCCAAAGAAACAGTTTGACCAGATTTTACTCTATGGGAGAGTTTCTGGCAATAGAAAGGCTGATCAAAAAAGAATGGTACTCCAATCACAGGGAGGGCGTAATGCAAAGCTTGAAAGCTGGATGAAGCTCCACACTGTGTCACAAATAGTTTAGTAGCAGGGTGATTCAATAGGCTTTCTTGGGGTATCCATTTACTCACTATCGTATTATTTCCAAGACCTTCTGGTATAGGGCCTTCGTAACTCCAAATCACAGTTTGTGGCAAAGCAGCAAATGCTTTGGCAAATGTGGTTCGAAGTTCTGGCCAGAGTCTACGGAACAATGACCCAAAGCTCACAACAATTATCCCATGTTTTCCAGCTTTCTCAATAATGTTGACATAGTGTTGATCTAAAGGCTTTGGGTCTTCGAGGAAAAATCCTTCTACAGATATAACATGTGGCATTAAGGGAATTGGGTAATGAAGTGCGTCATTTCTGTTCATAAAGACCAAAGAGGCAGTTTTGTCAGCATTCTCTATGTTATCACAGGGATCGCCATAACCCAATTCTTTACATATTGCAATAGATATACTGTAAACTTTCCTGTTCACATTTTGAAGTTTAAAGTACTCCCAAACATTGTAAACTCTTTCTGAGAAAGACATAATGTCAGAGGATGGGTGAAGGAAAGCAGGAACATATGCAAGATTGAATCTTTGTACAAGATTTGTATCAAAAATCATCGGTCCCCAATTTTCATAAAGAATCAATGGAATATTGAAACTTGCACTTATAACCCTTGAAACAAACATACGCTCATCGCTTATTATCAAGTCGAACTTTGACCTGGCAAACTTTTTCCAAATACTTCTGTCCTTCAGAGGAAAGGAAATAAAATCAGAATATACTGGTACTATAGTGTCATATGCATCTACAGCACTCACTATCAAACTGTTTATAAAATCCTGATTCAAAGAATTCATGTCTTTGGATACATCTACAGGTGGCTTCTTGAAATGTATAACATTGAATGTTTTGTTCATATTACTTGTCTCGCCTATTTTATACAAAGCATCATGTTCAATCTGGTCAGAAAGCAAGAAGGTTACTTGGTGCCCTGCATTCAACATAATTCTTCCAATTTTTATCACATTTCTCATTCTGCTGTTATAGCCAAAATCCACTGGAACAACAAGAATGTTTCCACATTCGCAAAGAGATGTCAACAGTACGACTGATATCAAAAGTCCTGTGAAATCCATCTTAAATATTGTATACAAATGTGATTCTTAATATATAAATCGCTAGTTCAACAGTTGGTTTCTTTGATTCAGTTCTGATCGGCATTGATATGTGAAGAGATAATATATACCCTATGGTCAAAAATTTTGTGCACCATCTAATATTTACAGATTTTAAAAATGATTTGTATCTTTATGAACTATGATAACAGTGCTTTCAAGGATGAGTTCCTCCAATGGGGAGGACCTAGATTTTGATTAAAGGACTCAATAAATTTAAAATGATTGGTCCCAAGGATGTACTTTAACGTTGACATAAATCACCATAACCAGAACTTTACCTATCATTCTTATATGTTCTCATACTAACAAAGAGGGAAGGTCAGTAACAAACAGGGGGGAAGAAGGAGGTACGGATTCTGGACACCTGCTTAGGAGGATGACATTGTCTGTTCTATTTCAATTTCTATTTTGATTTTGATCTAATCTGATTGAAGTGTGGATAGCACTCACGAACAGCGCGAAAATATCATGCACGTGAAAAGTATGTGTATTTACAGTACTTTAGATAATTCAGTTGATGCACACATTTTTGGATCAGAGGGTATGCTGATCTTTACTAACAAAAGAGTATACAGTAATAACTCATTCATCATACTTGAAGATAAGATTTTCAAAAAGTACATACTTGGTGTCAGGTCATATACACATAGACATAACATATACTTACTACTTACTAGGTGTTAGGTCATATAGACATAACACATCTCATACAAAACTCGCAGCTGTACTAGACTTTATGCCTGGGTCACATTTGCTGTAATTCATCGGCCTGCGCCTGGTAGATTGAGTATTTTGCTCAAAATTGTATACATGTTCTCCAAGCAAGGGATTGTTTCTGTCATATGCCAAGAGCTACCAGTATTGCGATAAAATATGGTTCAATTAACTCTTCATTCCAAAATACAAGGGTGTTAAAAAAAACGCAACCCAAAGAAATCGCGATATGTTGGAAAATACTAATCCAATTATGTTCATATTTTCAGGAAAGAAAGAAGAGACTGTGTATGTATAGCCCCAGTGGTTAGTTAGTTGTAAAACATGATGTCTTGGACACTTGCTCAAAACACGGTTGTACTAGCAAAATACGAAAAACGCTAATGGAAAATAACTATATCTTGGAAAATACTAATTCAATTATGTTTATTTTTTCAGGAAAAGAAAGAAGAGACTGTGTATGTACAGCTCCTGTCAATGGTTAGTTGTAAAACATGATGCCTTGGACACCTGCTCAAATGACAGTTGTACTAGGAAAATATGAAAACGCAGTCAGAGGTGACTGCCACAGCAATAAAACCAAATAACTTTCTAACCATGGTGTTTTGCCACTTCAGATTTGGCACAAATTATCCTCATTCAATGTGTGGTGAATTTGTGGAGTTTCATCAAAATCACTCCAGGGAATTTATAGTCATGGTCAAAATGCCTTCTTACGTCTCCCTGAACCAGGGCGTTTGACTGCAATTTGAAAGCATTTCAACCATGACTTTGAAGTCCCTGAAGTGATTTTGATTTCACTCTACAGATTTATCATACAGTGGATGAAGATGGTTTGTGCCAAATTTGAAGAGCCAAAACACTATGGTTAGGAAGTTATTTAATTTTTTTGCGGTTGCATTCACCCCTGACTGCGTTTTTCGCATTTTGCTAGTACAACTGTCTCTTGAGCAGGTGTCCAAGGCATCATGTTTTACAACTAACCATTGACATGAGCTATACATACACAGTCTCTTCTTTATTTCCTGAAAATATGAACATAATTGAACCAGTATTTTTTAAGATATAGCAATTTCTTTGGGTTGCGTTTTTTTTTAACACCCTGTATATGAACCGTGTAAAATAACCCTGTTTTTAGTTAACATAACTTATTGGTCATGATCTGACCTATTTTTTTAATTCAGTGCTCGTATGATTTTACTTCATTTAGTTGTTGAATTAAGGATTTAATCCCTGGACTCATTCTTTGATTCCATTGAAGGTGTCATTCCTTTGAATTTTCCTATCTTTGTGTGACTGCACATTGGGAATGCAAAGTTTAGAAAACAACGCATGAGTGGTGATGCCTTGGACAACTGCTCAAAGATTAAAACGTAGTCAGATGTGACATCATAAGCATATGGTAATATTTAATTTTTTTGAATTGAGTGTCCATATTGGATTTTTTGAGCAGAAATTCTATTCCCTCAGTCAGCGTATAATATTTAGACCAAATTTGATCAAAAATTACATGCATATTATGTCCCAAAAGAGAACCAAATCTGATAATCTTTACGAACTGAGCAGCCATATTAGATTCCTTTTGAGTATAATTCCTATGCCCATCAAGTGCGGATAGACAAACAGTTTAATCAAACACACTGTTTGTTGGGATAACTCATATAAAGAGATTAAAGAGATTTCACATCTCACTTACATAGTGTGTTTATAAATCCCTTATATTTATAACTCTATGTGTTGGAATAAGTAATATTTTTGAGGTATCAAAGAGATTTGGCAACTCACTTATATAGCGTGTTTATAAATCCCTTATATTTATAACTCTGTGTGTTGGAATAAGTAATATTTTTGAGGTATCAAAGAGATTTGGCAACTCACTTATGTAGCGTGTTTATAAATCCCTTATATTTATAACTCTGTGTGTTGGAATAAGTAATATTTTTGAGGTATCAAAGAGATTTGGCAACTCACTTATATAGCGTATTTATAAATCCCTTATATTTATAACTCTGTGTGTTGGAATAAGTAATATTTTTGAGGTATTAAAGAGATTTGGCAACTCACTTATATAGCGTTTTTATGAATCCCTTATATTTGTAACTCTGTGTGTTGGAATAAGTAATATTTTTGAGGTATCAAAGAAATTTGGCAACTCACTTATATAGCGTGTTTATAAATCAATCATATTTATAACTCTGTGTGTTAGAATAAGTAATATTTTTGAGGTATCAAAGAGATTTGGCAACTCACTTATATAGCGTGTTTATAAATCCCTTATATTTGTAACTCTGTGTGTTGGAATAAGTAATATTTTTGAGGTATCAAAGAGATTTGGCAACTCACTTATATAGCGTTTTTATGAATCCCTTATATTTGTAACTCTGTGTGTTGGAATAAGTAATATTTTTGAGGTATCAAAGAAATTTGGCAACTCACTTATATAGCGTGTTTATAAATCAATCATATTTATAACTCTGTGTGTTAGAATAAGTAATATTTCTGAGGTATCAAAGAAATTTGGCAACTCACTTGTATAGTGTGTTAATAAATCCCTTATATTTATAACTCTGTGTGTTGGAATAAGTGATATTTTTGAGGTATCAAAGAGATTTGGCAACTCACTTATGTAGCGTGTTTATAAATCCCTTATATTTATAACTCTGTGTGTTGGAATAAGTAATATTTTTGAGGTATCAAAGAGATTTGGCAACTCACTTATATAGCATGTTTATAAATCCCTTATATTTGTAACTCTGTGTGTTGGAATAAGTAATATTTTTGAGGTATCAAAGAGATTTGGCAACTCACTTATATAGCATGTTTATAAATCCCTTATATTTGTAACTCTGTGTGTTGGAATAAGTAATATTTTTGAGGTATCAAAGAGATTTGGCAACTTACTTATATAGCATGTTTATAAATCCCTTATATTTGTAACTCTGTGTGTTGGAATAAGTAATATTTTTGAGGTATCAAAGAGATTTGGCAACTCACTTATATTATATAGCATGTTTATAAATCCCTTATATTTGTAACTCTGTGTGTTGGATTAAGTAATATTTTTGAGGTATCAAAGAGATTTAGCAACTCACTTATATAGCGTGTTTATAAATCAATTATATTTATAACTCTGTGTGTTGGAATAAGTAATATTTTTGAGGTATCAAAGAGATTTGGCAACTCACTTGTATAGCGTGTTAATAAATCTCTTATATTTGTAACTCTGTGTGTTGGAATAAGTAATATTTTTGAGGTATCAAAGAGATTTGGCAACTCACTTATATAGCGTGTTTATAAATCCCTTATATTTGTAACTCTGTGTGTTGGAATAAGTAATATTTTTGAGGTATCAAAGAGATTTGGCAACTCACTTATATTATATAGCATGTTTATAAATCCCTTATATTTGTAACTCTGTGTGTTGGAATAAGTAATATTTTTGAGGTATCAAAGATATTTTGCAACTCACTTATATAGCCTATTTAATAATCCCTCAAATCTACAACTCTGTTTATACCATCTGAGTCTAATTAATGACCAGATTAGGAGCTAATAGTAGTTGAATTGAAGGATTTTAGACGTAACAATTTGTACTTTGTTCCAGTGTATGCATATATGGAAGTTGTGGCATCAGCCAATGCTATATCAAAAAATGGTAAAATCACAAAATTAAGTAGCGCCATATTAACCCAACCTACAGTATTTTGCATTGCATATGTTCCTTGATTTGATGTCATTTTGATCTTTCACAGTGACTCAACTTTATAATATACAAGGGGCGATCCATATATTCTGATAAAAATGCTCTCATTTTGTGATTTTTTCACATATCCCTTTCATTTTTTCAGAACATGTAGATTATGTAATTACACATACGATGCTAAAATATCTTAGCTGTATCTTAAATGAATTTTGAAATAAGGTTGCCATGGTAACCTGTATTTAGGGTAGGCAGGTCAGTTAAATTATAACGTCTAAAATAGATAAATATGTTAATTTAATCATTCCTCGGTACCTATTTTAAGCAGGTTGTGGCATCAGCCAATGCTATATCAAAAAATGGTAAAATCACAAAATTAAGTAGCGCCATATTAACCCAACCTAATTTGAAGGAAGAGAATCAGAAAATGAAACAACTCATCAATAAACAAAGCCAGGAGCTACTGTCTCAGAAAAATGACATTCAAACTCAAAAAGACGTAACGATCAAACTACAGCACATGCAGATGCGTGAGAACATGCTCTTTTTTGGAATTGCAGAAAAGAAAGATGAGACGCAAGAAGAAACCAAAGAAAAACTTTACACCTTTCTCGAAAATGTGATGAAGATAAGTAA